ATATTGAGAGTTTCGAGTTTGGTGTGTTACAGAATTGGAAAACTCGAGTTATTAGGAATTCTATGATTTAGAAAATCTTGGTACTCTCGAACATTTGGAAATTGAATACTTACTTAGGGTATTTAAACGGTTGGAATCATTGTTGAGAATTTAGATAATTAAGGGCTGGAGAAGTTCTCGATTCAGGTCGACTGCGAAGCACGTATTTGTTCCTAATTTCCACGGCATCGTAATGGCGGGTATCTATTAAGAAAGGACAAGGAATATTTAATCCCAATTATGGCCGAAACGAGTTCCTTCTACGGTTAATTGGTAAAAAAATAATCTTTGTCCAGGAAAGCGATTCTTGGAAGCAGAAAAGGGGGACATGTTAGGCAAGTCGAGAGACCCCGATGGAGCCGCCGTAAATTCTAATTCAGCGCAAGAAGGGACAAGGAAAGCAGATGTCGACAATTGTGCTTAATTAATCCCGGCTCTGGACAACCTCGTCCGTTCTGTGCTGTCTAGAATTTAGCCCGGCCGTTTCCTATTTATAAAGAAGTGGAACTGGAGATCTAATCAACGATTTCAGTACTTTCCTTACAGAGAACCTTGGCCGATTCGTTCGTATAAAAAACATCTATCCTATATCCTGCCTCACAAACATACATTTCACAATTCTAATATTACTTTGCCTTTTTTAAATCACGTTTTCAAAGACCTCTACTTTCGGATACAGTGGAGTCTCGATATTTCCATTAAAAAGATCGCCTTTTTATTCATGTTTTTGGAGGACAAATCGAGCTCCCTAGGAAAAATTGAGATATGTGCAGCACAATTGTGTTTGTCGGAGTATAATGGAGCTGAAACGCGCAGAGACGTTTAGACGACACTGTCGAAGATCGATTTCCGTACAAGGCTCAGGCCGAGGCGCCTTGTATTTGTCATTTCCGACAGGAAAGGCCGTACCATAGCGTTCTCAACTCCTTTCGCCTCGAGATCGCGTACGATATCGACTGATATATACCGCTGATCGATCCTTAACTAGCCGATAAGTCTCGGTTTCCTATAAAAAAAAATCCTCTGATTTATAACCATTTCCCGCTCGCAAATTAAATACTTCGCCGCGACACAGACCGGGGCGACAGTTGTTCAAACGCCCACGCGCGAAAATCAGTTTGTCACGATGGACATTGAAAAATTAAAACTCTCAATCGAGCAATCTTTCTGTAATTTGTACACATTAACCCTTTGACTACGGCGCAATCTACCCAAAAACAATCAGCGTGTGCGGCTGGATATTCGCTTGACATGTGAAGGCGTATATATACACCTTTCGCAGTCAAAGGATTAAAAAACTGGATCAAAAGAGTAACATATGAAACAACGGAATGTTACCTAATTCTACAGAATTATTTATAGTACTCTAGAATCACTTCCAAGCATTTTGGAATCGATATAAATTCAACGACCAAGATATCCTTCTCGTCAATCGCCGTTATCTCAGAAACCTAGCAAGGAATCCGAACACGATGAAAAGGGAGAAGAAGAAAAGGAATAAGGATCTCACTTTCCCGATCGATTCGTCCTAATACGTATTCAAGAAGCGGTCTCATCACGATCGATCCGAAAGAAATCGGTTCCGTGGTGTCCGGTGGCGCGCATCCTTATTCAGAAAAGGAAAAAACGCGTGTCAGGGCAGCGCGGGAGAACCCGTATCGAGAGCACCGGGGGTCCTTATCAGGGTCCGCGGGGCCAGGTACCTTATTACGTACCGCGCCCTTCTCCGGGTGCCTTGGCTCTCGTCACGGCTCGTAAAGTCGGGACGTGGTCGCAAAAGGTGGCTCGCGAACAGGCCCCAGGATCGGAAATTCCACAAGGGGGCCCCAGCACACCAACAGAGAGCAGAGAGAGATCCGTTCGCGAGTTGGGCCCGTAATCCTTTTGCCGCGAGAACGCAGATGGAGGCGCGCGTACCCGATGTACCCGGCTGGCTCTCTCGATTTCTCCCCACCCTTTCGCTTTTATCGGCCTGCCTACTCTAAATATTTCTCTGGCATGAATTTATAACGACGACGACGACGCCGCCGCCGCCGCTAATAACGAGCACCGATAGCCAAGCGATGTCTATAAACGGACTGCAAGAGGAGAGCTTGCCTCTCTCGGTCCTGGCCATTACCCGTGGCACGATAATTTTAAAAGCAGTTGCTCGAACAATAAATCGTCCGATCCCGAGATCCGAACACGATTTTCCAATAGGACGGAACTTTGATTTTACCGAACGATGGACAAGACACAAGTGTCAGATTAGTCGGCGGATTACGACAGTTCATTTCGATCTCGAATACAATTTTCGCTTCAAACGGGATGATTTTTCGTTTCTTCTTTTTTTTTTTTTTTCCGAATCAGTATTCCGCGCAGAAATGAAACGTATATAGCGCCGGAGAGATTGCTTCGCGATTTATATTATACCTCTGTCAGAATTCATGCAGGCCGTGTGTGTCCGTCCGTAGTTGCACGTCGAACAAATAGGAATGCCAGCGGCGAGTAACGAAGTATCCCCCTCGCAAGAAATAATAACCGATCCCAGCATGCAAACGAGCGTTTAAGTAAAAGTTTCATTAAGTAATGGCCGAGCACTCCGCCCATGGCGATGAATGGGGCCCCAACGATCGGGAGGCAGCCGCGGACAGAGATCCGATTTTACGCGGCGTGACTCCGACAGCCGCGCGTAGAATCGAGTTCCAAGCGGCCCGGGCTCCTCGTAGATCAGTGAAAGTCCCCGGTTGCTGTTGCTGCTGTTGCTCCGTTTGCGCTGGCGACAGCCAATCCGACACGCGAGACTACTCTATCGCGGCGTGGTTGAATGGCACACACGATCGTGCCGCGGCGATACACAGGCCTGGGCTGCGTGTTCTTTCGACACAACCGATGCGGTTCGGGCTTTCGGAATTTAGTTTGACAGTCCTAGGGGCCCCTGATCGTGTCGAACACCGCTCGGACACTTTAATTGTCTGCTACGATTAGCCGGTCGCTTGCTTCGTTGCTTGTGATAATTAGCCATAGAGGATTTCACTATGCCTACGATTGGATGTCGGACAGAATTTTGATACTTTGATCAATTGGTAAAATACTAAACCTAAGGTTTTTGCTAACTACGAGGCATGAAGATCTTTATTCTACTTTGAAATTATTGGATCATGTATCTGTCGTAGCAGGAAATGTTCCTATTAGTATATTATATGATCAAGTATCGGCCAAGAATCTCAGATGTAAATAACGCGGCGTGCACAAGCCAAAATTCAGGGTTTCAGCCGTTCATTCACGATTTAAGTTTCACCCGCGTACAGGTTGTATCATTATTCCAACGATTTCAGCGTGTCTAGTCGCGGGTTTCGACGTCGACGCGGCTGCGGCGGCGGCGACTATGAAACAGGCGAAGTTATGCAGCCATTCAACGGGGCCATTATAGACACGACGCCGGTTATTTTCACCCGATGCAAATTCAACTTTATCTCGTACGGTAAATTCCGCGAAATTTATCGCGAATTCTGATTCGGTGACTTTCTACATGCCCGCGTCTATTTTATACGCTATTCCGCGTAACAGGTATCACAATAATCGCGCCGATACAGTTAATAACAATCGCCATTCCGGTCACCACCGTCGTCGTCCCCGCCATTTTTCTTCGTTCGCGCGCTAATGATCGCGTCCGCCTCGTCTGTTCGTTTGCGCCGAGAGACATTCAGGCCGGTGACGCCGGTTTATCCGAGTGTACACACGGGGAAAACTCGTTTGCGTGTGTCTTTTCAGCGCGATGTCGGACCCGATAATTTCCGACTCGGAATTAATTTAACCGGACTGTCCGCTTGAAAATGAAAAAAAAAAAAACGTCCGAATTACACGACTACCGTCCCACTGCCGCCACGATATTGCTTGTTAAGTTTTCGTGGCTTTTTTTTCTTTCGTCCACTTTCAGCCACTTTGTGTCCTAATGAAATTAGAATCAAATCGTATCTTGCCGCAAACGACTGTGTAATTTAATCGATCGTAAATTCCGATTATCGTCTGGCTTGTACTACACGATTATTGTCCAGGCGTTATCCCCACCATTGAGGGAGGGCGAGGCCGTGGAACCTGTCAAATGCATACTTTGGTACCCCTTAGGTTTCGTTGCCAAGGCTCCATTGTTTTCATTATTCACTCGTTTTCGTTTAACTTTAACAAAGTTTTAGTCTTAAAAGGTGATAAAAGACGACTGATTATCTACCGTATTAATTCCTCTTGTAGTTTCAACAATTTATGATTGAATTAAGAAGGTCTTGTTTAGGAAAGTCACGACTGAAAAGATTGGTTAAAGTTAAAGGGAACCAGAAGCGTAGTTTTTTATTCTTTGCTTTTTCCAACGTGCTTTCCTTCGCTTCTTCTCGCGTCACGACGTATCGTGCACGCGGCAAGTTGATTCGTCATTCAACCAGCGTCGAGGCAAGAACTTCCGGTGGACGTCACACACGCATCCTTCTTCCTCTGTTTCACGAGCCACGAGGAAAGTAAGTAAATAAGTACATGCCCCATGCTTTTACGCGTGTCCATTTAACGCTTTTCGCTGTGCGCGCGCTACACGCGTCACTCAAACGTTACTAACGAGCAAAATTTTCAAGAAGTTCCTCGGAACTCTGAATGACTGGCGATTGTTTTGCCTTATGGATACTTTATGACGAAAGATATTCATTTTTAGAATGAAGTTGATTTTTAGAATTAGCGAGAAGAATATTATCACTGTTCGAATCAAAGGTACCACGATAATTCGTGAATATTATTCATTATTATTATTTATGGGTCTTAAATATAATGACATTCGCAACCACCCAAGAGTACCGACTCTTTACATTACGTCATCACGTTTCAAAATGTCTCGAACAATGTATATTCTATGGTGGACTTCGATTCAAACAGGGACCCAGCACGGAGAAGCTACTTTATGGTTCTGAGAATGCGTAAATCGTTCCACAGCCACTTACTTTGCACAGAGCGACGCCGGTGTCCAGTCTGTCCATAAAATTGTCAACGTTGATTCTTAGCTCCGGATAGAGTGCGTTCAACCACTCCGCCAAGTCCTCTTTCATCGCGACCAGATACTCTTCCGAGGACTTGAAAGGCCTGTAGGACCTTGCTTCCAGAAGAACCGACATCTTGGACCTCGTGTATCTTAAAATACCAAAAATATAATCACTTTTCTAACATTTCTCGGAGAAAATCAAAATAGATTAAATGGTTTTAGTTTCTTTCATGCATCCCAATATAGTCATTCGTTCCACGGTAAATCATAATTCTCGATTAAAATTCAGCCTCGTTTTCCCAGCCTATTCCCATCGCGCCAATCGTCCAACCAACTGGTTCATCGACGTATTAGCTTACACTGCGAAACGCGTCGCGTACCGGCAATAAAATCACGAAAGGATTTGCAAGACAATGGGTCCGAGCTCATATTGTCGATCGCCCCAGAAACTCTCCCCTAGTTACCATGTCGGTTAAACTACCCTATAATGTGTCTGAAACCGTGCCCTATCGCGATCATTGGCACGCTGTGTCCCTTGGCTACCCTTATAAATCTCCATTGCTCTCACAAACCAACTACGATTCCCGCAGACAGCACGCGTTTACCCCTTTGGGCACGTTGAGCGATTATTTCATGCTTCACACACCCTATAATTTCTGCAGTTCGCAGGGTGTTTTATTTACCGTCACCATCGCGAAAGAACGTGGAAAAATATTAATGTTAGTCATCGAAGGAATGAAAGAACCTGTATACAGACCTAACGGAACAGAATAGCAAAGGGTGAATGGCACGACTGCAAAGGGGAAGAGGAAATAAAAGGAACCGCAGGGACAACAGGGAGGAAATCGTAAAGGTGAGGTCGAAGGTTCGTGCGCCGACATCGGCGTTCCTGGATTACGTTTTACAAAAGACGACTGTAAAATGTCGCCGTCTCGTATTTCGTGGCGATGCAACGCGCGTGATTTACTCCTCGTTTACACCGCGTCAGCTTCTCGAGACCGTACACGTCATACAGATGTCTTTCAAATGGCAAAGTGCGAAAGAGCTAAAGCATCAGATTTTTCAATAACCACATCATACATTTCACCTGAAAACTTACTATCTACGAAACGTAAGCTATGTCTAAATTATTAATCTGATTTGTAAATATCACGATGTAACCAAGTGCCAGAATTTTCAGATAAAATAGCGAAACAACGATGTTGGGGAAATATAGTTGAATGTAAAATGCGACAAGGTATATATCTCGTGTTCCCCGTTTATCAGGTTTATGATTGGTTTATGGAGCGACCTGAGCCGAATCGGCCAATTACTCGAAAAACGAACGTCCCCCCTAAATCGGTCTGTTTCGCGCGAGGTGTCCACGGCTCGAAAATAATGGCGATGCGCGAAGACCGGGGAGGAATTACGACGCGATACCGATCGCGGCTCGTGAAAGTCCCTCGCGCCTCGTGCACAGGTAGGTGTATGGAAACGAGCGTGTTTCGTTTTACAGTGCGATACTTCCTGCCTTTGGGGCCCCGATTCAATTTTCCAACGGTTACGATTTACTCCCGCGTAGTCTCGTCTCTCTATTTTTACGGGAGCCGCCACCGCCGTCGCGGTTCTTTACGGTCCATAAAGCGTTCCCCGAAGATTTCCTACGCGGCGTGACAGCCGAAACCGTCGAGGTAAATACTCGCCGACTGACGCATCGACGTTTGGAAATCAATTTATTGGCCGTAACGAGACATTACGCTCTCGTAGAAAGCGAGAATTGATTTGAAGAACAATTTACGATCGTCGTATTTAACATCGACAGATGTGAATTGAAAGATTGGTAAAAATTCGACACGAGGAACCGATTTCTAAATAGTCAACTTTCATCCCTCTCACCGTGTTAATTTACCACGCGTCAACCAACTGTAATGCTAGACGCAGCGCGCTTTCGGGAACGGTGATCGATTAAAATTCCAAATGATAAAATCGATCCGGTTTATTGTATCGTTCGAATATGCGTAAGACACTTCTTGGTCGCTCAGATTCCAACGCAGCGTCGTGGTCGCCAAATAAAGCTCGATGCAAAATATGCGACAAATGCGAACTATCGGCATCTTAATGGGGCGAGAGATTGGCGACACCGTGGCCGATACTTGCTCGTTAAAATGCCGACAGTTTGCATTAGCCGTGTGCGTGTACGCCTGAAAAAAAGAAGTGCCGGCGCGTAATTCATCGGGTTCGGGCGAATTTAATCGCGTCGCGGCAACCGTATCAAACGAGTTCCCTCGCGAGACAAAGAACAGAATTCTCTGTCTATTGTGTGGCCCGAGAGGAGAATTGATTCGTTCGCGACGCTTTGATCCTGCGAGAAACAGTTAAATCCCCCCTCGATAAACGGAACGATCGTTTGGAATGATTTAAGGGTGGCGATCGAAAGGGAGTGCTAAAATAACAGATCAATCGGTAGAAAGCGTATACATATTATATAAATCCTTTATATAAGACGCTAAAAACTTTCACTTTTTACTTTTAGATGGGACCCGTTACAAGCTTCCCGTATATTTGCCCCAGTGATTATCGTTTGCTAATCATAGAAATACAAAGGTATTGAATTCAGGTTGTAAGAAATAGAACTCCTACTATTCTTTCACCACATCCACTTATAATATTCACTCCGTGTAATATTGACCGAATAGCCACGTGTTTAAAAAAGAAAGACGATAGATCCTCCAAGGAAACGAGGAAATCAAGCGTACCTACCGGGTAATGTAAAAGGGTGTCAGAAATTGAGTTATCCGTTCGAGGCGGAATTCCTGCCTTTTCCATTACACGCATATATAATTCAATCGTGAGAATTGAAAATTAGAAGCGGCCACCTCGTAAAGAGTGGTTTACACATGTGGCCCGATACGTTTCTACGCGTGCACACGTCCCACGTCGTGTGTACGTGTATACGCACTTACGTCGTTGCGTGCCTCTCGAGCTCGGGCGTATTTCTTCCATACTCTGCCGGACATCATCGTACACGGCACAGTGTTCCTTTTAACCAGCCTTCGCCTCGAGACGAGAAACAAGAAAAGGCGAATCACCCGATAAATGTGTCGACACGGGGATTCGCGAACAAACCGCGTGAGAAACGTCATTTTTATCCCGCGGATTCGTTTTGGCGTGTTCGCCATTGTGTTTTCACCGTCTGTGAGACTCGAAGGATCCGTGTAATGAGGGTAATTGGGAATGAATGGATGAATGAAGAAATGGAGGGCAAGGTGAGAACGACATTGTAAGATTCTGGATGTCTAATTACCATTTCGCGAAAAGGAATGTCAGGACGTCGAAAATGGCCACGATGCAGAACAATGATAGCCATTTATTAGGGGTTTTACAGTCTGTGAAAAAGTGAACGATATTAACAGAAAGAAGATTCATCATTTGTACGTACGACTATATTTTGGTAAATGAACATTACCAAGAAATTGTCTAGGAGAAATTAAGAGATTAAATTGTTGTGGACGTGTAAATAGATTACGATTACTATGATCAATTAAATTATCCGAGGTCAGTTTTAATTGAATGCTGAGCTCGGTTAAGTGTAATTTCCACAGAGGATGTCCGTTAATGGTTATTACAATGTTGGGAATGAGAGATTATGTAAATACCAAGTCGGAACTAATTATGCAGACTATAATGCACTGGTTGAGGGATCCGTGGCGAGGAATAAAGAAAAAAAGGCGACTCTAGTTGACATTTAATGGGCTGTAAAAGAGCAAATGACCATTAATTGCGCGGCGCGCCTCATTGGGAGCGCATGAAACGAGCATTATACGTCCACCGGATTCGCGGCTCGTATTTACATTCGTGAAATTATCGGTTTATTAACGATTACCACGATTTATGCTGTTAGATGGTCCATAAACTGATTAGGACAACTTTCGCGGCGCCGATGCTTTGATGTAGTTCTCTTTTTTCCAACGATGGAGTACATATATTCCTCTGGTTTAAATCAGATTCGAACAATTTGAGACTCGAAGGACTTCAAATTTAAATTCGAAATGAAATTCGAAACAAAGTTGTCAGATTCGTGATTTTTATCATGGTTATTTTCAAAATTCTCAGCTCACATTTTTCGCCTTGCGTAACATATCGTGGTCATCGTGAGCAAGCTCGTTCCAGTCGATAGCGAAGAAAAGGGTTCGGTTAGGCCCGGAGGGTTTTTATTATTCCATTGAACGCCGCGGAAGGGACGGAATATCAAAAGGTGAGTCGCCTGTGGGTTCCTCTTATGAAAGCCAGTTCGTAAGTTTACCTACGTGAGCGTACTTTGAAGGCGTGCTTTGCTCGTTGTAACGGTATACTGCGATGTACACGCAAAGAGAGCGAAAGAGCAGCTGAAGCGCATGTACCTACGCCGCTAGATGGGAATAGAAACGGAGAGTGAGAAAGAGCGAGAAAGTTGGGAAGATAGTTCCACAATCCGCTCGGAACCGTGCGAAGAAACTTGTAAAGATAAGCGACAAGAAATAAAATATGTACAGCGACTCGTGGATTTCTTCAGAGACAGTTGACACATGTATTTCAAGGTGTAGTGAAATTAGCCAAAAAATAAACCACACATCACTGTACTCTTTATACTTTCAGAATCTTCCGATTTCAATTAATCCAAAATACAGAATTATTATACTCTGTAAAATAAAATAACTGAATCGAAAATTTGTGACATTCCATTAGATATTATTCGAATCGAATGCTTCCCTCTCTTTCTGCTAGTCCCAACAGACTCGTTCCAGATAGTCCCCGTACTTTTTCTCCGTTCCAAGAGCACCGAGTCTGAAGTACACGCGAGCCGTTTGAGTAGAGAAAAAATTTTCTCCTTTTTCTCCACTTGTGTGTTGCACATTCGTTCGGAGCCATCAACCACGACATTGAGTAGCCCCGGTGTACTTATCAACCCTTACATGCAATGCCTGGTGTCGCATTAAAATCCCCCGTGAATTCGCGATAATACGGTCGATTTATGCCCGTGGAGATCCAGAGGACTCGGCGAACTGCCCAAGAAATTCGATACCTCGCGCGGCTTATCTACGAAACTTCTACCAGTACGAATGATCAAGGGCGCATATAATTATGCTCGGGCACGGATACGGGGCCCGATAAAAT